TGAGCCCTCTCTGGGGAGCCTCTTTTGGAGGGAGATTATTGAGCAAAACTTCAGCCCCATCTCCTCTGGCTGCATCAGATTCAGCTACATCAGTGTTTGACCCTGGATCAGGCCAGGAGGAACTACAGAATCTCACTGAATCAGAAAAATGGGGGTGTGTTGGAGTGAGCCCGCAGGAGGCCACAAAGATGCTCTGAGGGCCGGAGCACCTCTGCTCTGGATCCAGGCTGGGAGAGCAGTTCAGCCTGGAGAAGAGAGAAGGCTCTGGGGAGACCCCGAGCCCCTTCCAGTGCCTACAGGGGCTCCAAGAGGGCTGGAGAGGGACCTGGGACAAGGGCCTGGAGTGACAGGACCACTGGGAATGGCTTCAGACTGAAAGAGGGCAGGGATAGATGGGATATTGGAATTAAATTCTTCCCTGTGAGGGAGGTGAGGCTCTGGCACAGGGTGCCCAGAGGCTGCTTCATCCCTGGAGGTATCCAAGGCCATGGAGCATGCTGGGGTAGTGGAAGGTGTCCCTGACCATGGCAGGGGGTTGGAATGAGGTGAACTTAAAGGTCCCTTCCAACTCAAACCATTCTGTGATTTTAGGATTCTATCTAGCAGTCTATCCACAACAAATCACTCCCCAGCAATGAGCCCTAAAGCTGAATTTTGCATAGGGCTGGGAGAAATGGTTCTGTGGGCTCCAAAGTGCAAAAGGATGGCGAGCTCAACCTCCTGAGGCTGGGCAGGGCCTGGGACAAACTCCCTGATGCACGAGGGGGCACTGGACTTACCCTTGACAATCCTGTACCACACTCTCCCATTTATGCCTTCGTCCGCATCGGTGGCTTTCACCTTCATGAGAAAAGCAGAGGAGTAGAGGTCAAAGGCAGAGAATTCCAGACTAGGACGAGTCCTCCTACCCTGCCAAAGCTGGACATCCTTCTCCTCCACCTGAGCTGGGGAGCTTACCAGATACAAAGCGAAGTAAGTTGCCCTGCCCTATCACTGGACAGCAGGGACAGTGGGCTCAGGAATCCTTGGCTGATGGATTCAGGTGGGAGCTGAGCCTCAGCACCCCACCACAAATGCCACGGGTCTGTGTGCCTCCATCAGTCCTGCCCTGCCTTCCAATGCTTGTCCCAGTGGCGCTGCCACCAGGGATGGAGTCTTGCTGGGATGATTCGAGCTGGGCAGGGGGAGCTGCTCCCGTGCCTGGTGGGCAGCAAGCCCATGGCATCCTGGTGAGTCACCCAAGCAGCAGCACATGCCAAAACTGCCAAAGGAATTGTGAATGCAACCAGCCCAGAGCATCCTTTTGAGCAGGAGTGGGAGCAGCCCTAGGCTCTGATGCACTGCACAGTCCTGGCACAGACCAGTCTGCCATCCGCCCTGGGAAAACCAAGGCACGGGTCCCCTCTGGTGTCACTGAACCAGACTGCAGTGCTTTCCCTAAACCCCAGCCAGCAGTCAGCAGCTGGGAAGCGGGACCTGGCAGCGACCAGCAGAGCTTCCAGTCCAGCTGGCACTGAGCCCTTGCATCTTCTCTTGGAAAAACCCACTCCCCACAAAGCAACCAAAGCTCCACCACAGCGTGGCTGCTCATAAATCACCAGGGCGAGGATGCCAGGAATGCCTGAGCCTTTATTCTCTCCCTGCTTCTCTCTGCAAGGCATCCTCAGCCTCTTCCTACAATACCACCCAGCAGTTCCTTTTTCCTGGGAAGTTTTGTATCCAGATTTATGCAGGGAAGAGGAAAGGTTGCTGCAAAGGATGCACATGCAGTGGGAACAGTGAGGGTGTTCACCCCCAGCCACACACAACACTCACAGGAGTCAGAGATGCGCCTCTGAAATGGGGTTTTGAGGTACCTTGAACTGCTCTTGCTCCCTTCCACCAAGCCCCCCTGCATCAGCAGAAAACTTGGAAAATACTGACCTCTATCTGGATTTCTCATCCCTGTGCCCACACATGCTCTTTTCCTCTGTCCCAGACCAGTTTATCCCTTGCTTGTGGCTTATTCCACGTCCCACCAAGAGCTTCCTTTCACAGCAGGGAGTTATCCCTCCCAGACCATCTCTTTCACCTGCTGGGCTCCTGAGGCAGAGCTGGGCTGTCTCCTCTCCCATGGGGTGCATGGGCCCCACAACAGCAGGCAAGCGATGCCCAGGCAGACCAGCTGCCTTGGCATGGCACAGGGAAAAGCTATCATGTAGCCAGAGCAGGAAAACAAAGGGATGGGAGGCAAAACCTTTCAGCTTTTTGTGCCATTCCTTGCCCCACTGTGCCCAGGAGAGGGCATTTCAGGATGAGCCAACTGCACCTTGCAAACAGCCCTTGGGCCATCTTCTTCCCAGCTCACCCGAGCCTGAAGCTCTGGTACACAGACTAAGTGATATGGGTCATTTGTTTTTTATTAAAAATCAGGAGTTTGCACTAAAGCAAGGTGTGATCCTGCCAACCTGCAGCCTGAGGAAAGCTTGGCTGCTGCTGGTTTGACCTGCTGAGGTCCCAAAGGAGAGGTGGCACTTTGACAAACTGTCTCTCCTGGTGAAGGGAGAGGGGCAAGGTCCTGTGGAGGCAGCTCTGCCGATTATCAGCGAGCCTGGTGGGCAGCAGCATCACTCAGGGCTCGGGGTTGGTACTGCCCAGCATCACCTCCTCCTGCCAGCCCGTGGAAAGGTTTAGTGCACTGGGAAAGGTTGGGGAGCTCCAGGAAAAGTGTTGCTAAGCAAGCTGGGGAGGGGAACGAGAGCTGCTTTTCATGGGAGCTGTGTCACAGGCAGTGCCTGAAAACAGGCTTTTCTTTGCAGGAGTTTGAGGAAAGGGTGGGAGAGCATATGGAAAAATTGCCAAGCTAGGCAGCTGGGCCAGGCCAGGGAGCAGTGCCTGGTGCTGGGCAGAATAACCCTCTCTGCTGCTCATGCACGAGAATCATTCTTTTTTTTTCTACCATTCCACCTTTCTCAGGGGCATTTTACCTTTTGCAATGTCTCTTTTCCCCACTCTGATCCTCACCTGCCTCACGACTAATGCTGGAGCCTGAGTGTTCATGGGGATGTGTCAGACTGGGAGCTGATCAGGCAGGGATGAACCTCTGGGGAGGATTTCCAGGCCAGGAAAATCTCTCTTAACCCACCAGGGTGAAGAATATGGAGCCTGGGTGGGACAGTGATGCTGGGAAGGGGCAATGCCATGAAAGCTCTGCCAGCTGAGCTGGGTGTGAGGAGAACCAGGGCGTGGCTGAAAAAGCCTGGGAAAACATCGGGTGCCATCCCTCCTGATGGGTTTCTATCCAGTGAATTTAAAAGACAAACTCTGCAGCCATGAGCAAGGGAACAAAAACAGCCTGAAGGAATTAAAGAGCCTGAAGGAATTGTCCACACCCCCTCGGCTGGCTCCCAAGGAACAATGCAAGGTCCCCACATGCAGTGGGTAAATGCCAGCTTTAAGGTAGCCCTGGAAACCTTGGTTCAGGCTGCCTGTGGTGGGGGACACGCTGCAGCCCTGCCTGCTGCTCCCCTGCCCTGGGCAACACAGAGGAGCCTGGCCATGGAGCAGGGGGTCCTTGGGATTGCTGCTCTGTTCCCAAAGCTGAGGGGAAGGGATGGGGCTGGTTAAGGATAAAAAATTAAGGATAAATTTGCATTTAGGGTGAAGAGAGGAAAAAACATCACTGTGGAGGAGGTGACCAGAGCTCCATGCCTGGGACAGCCTGCAATGCACACAGGGGTTCACCCTCTCAAATGCTGACCCGTTTGTTTTTTGCATTTCCCATTTTCCCATTTTCCAGGCACAGACCTGGCTCTGACCCATGGAAACAACACCATCTCCCCAAAGATCCCCAAGCTCTGAGCAGGCTGATACACCCTTAGTGATTAAAGCCATGGCACTGATGTCTGCTCTCCACTTTTTGGAATGTTTTATGGTGAATGTTTGGCTGTGCCTTACACACACCTGTGTCACTTTGGCATGGTGGCTGCAAGAGCAGACCCAGAGACCCTGGCAGCCCCTGTGGCCCTGCCTTTCCCCTCCTAAGATCTTGGTTTTAAATTGCCTCAGTCCAAATCCCAGTTTAGCAGGAGATTGCCCAGCCACAGACCAGTGAGACAGCTCTCCCACATCTCCACAGGAAAGTCAGCATAATAAAGCTTTACCTCCAGCACACAGGCTGGAGCACCAGGAGCATTGCAGAGGGTTGGCACAAACAGGATTTCCTCAGCCCTCGTCGTCTCATCTGCATCTGGAGAGATGCCAGCCTCTGGCACAGCCTGGCACGTGAGCAAAAAAGTGGGTGCAAAATGCTCTTGGGAGGATCTGACCCACTGGAGAAGGGAGGGGACCGTCTCCACCAGGTGTTGGGTAAGAGCTGTCGCTGCTAGCACTTTGGGAAGCTGGTTTGCATCACCAGTGACATGTCTGAGCCTGAAAGCAGGTCAGCAAAATGCCTGCATGAGGATTTTTGGCATGAGTAGGGTGAGGGTGTTACTCTTCAGCGCTGCAAAATAATAAAGTGCTAGTACAATACCACAAATTGATTGGGGACTTACCAGGGCACAGGCTCAAACAACTGTCCAATTTCTTTGGGAGAATAATCACAAAAACCCCAAATGACAGCCAATTCAACAAACTCACATTTCTGGGGAACAGAGGAGAACCAAACCTCAGCAGCTTAGGGGGAGGATTTTGAGCTTTCTGTAGTACATGGATATTTATCTCTTCCAGAAAATCTTCATGCAATACGTGTGTGCTCCCTGAAAGTGTCCCCCAGAGGCCATGGCACCACATGGAAATAGTGGTAGATTTCTTTGCCAGGTGGTTTTGCACTTCAGTTCAGGGTGGTACTTTGCAAGCGTAAACCCCACCTCTGTGTTTTGCAGATGGACACCTCCTGTCCCCCTGTGCCACTGAAAACATGGCTGGGAGAATCTTGGGCATGAAGAATCCATCAGTTTAACCAGAGGGTGGCTGTCTGTCCAGCTCCCACGTGGTAACCGCCTGTGCCACTTCTCTGTATCACCTTGCAGGGAAGATGAGCACAGAGGACTCTGGCAATGGGACCTCCCAGACCCCACCTCTCCTTCTGGAGCCAGTGCCACCCAGTGCCACATCCCCTGAGGTGAGAGACTGGCTGCCCATCATCGTTGGGCTGGTCTGCATCTTCCTGGTCCTGGCCACCCTCCTCACCTTTGTCACCCTCTGCAAGGTGGTGGCACTGGGCCGGTCCCTCTCCAGCCCCCAGGAGCGCCTGCCCCACCACCCTGTGGATGCCAACCAGCCCCAGCTGAGGCTCTGGAGGCGCCTGGGCTCCCTGAGGTGCTCCATCAGCAGCTTCAGGAGGAGCCAGCTGCTGTCTCAGAGCCCACTGGCCTGTCCCAGAAGCTTCTCCACCAGCCAGGACGGGGACATCATGGAGTCCACCAAAATGTGACCTTGCCCTGCTACTCTTTTCCAAGATTTTGGCTCACTTCTCAAGCGTTCCTTTGAGAAACCCATTTCCAGGCAGTGGCTCTGTGAGGTGACAGGAGATTTTGCAATGTCAGGTTCCCAAATGCTTTCCAGGTTACTGCTTCCTGCCAGGGAAGGTGGAGGTATCCAAACTACACCCACTCAGCTACCACCAGGCGGTCCAAAAAAATCCTGCTGCTTCATTTCTGTTGGAACACATTGTGCAAGTTGTGCTCCACCTGAACAAACAGCCTGGAAGAGAGTGGGAGCAAGCTGGCTACCTGAAGAGAGGCAGCCCAGGGCAAAGCTGCTCCACAGAAAGCAATCCTCAGTGGAAGTTTCCCCCTGAGCAGGTGGAGGGAGGCTCTTGTCCCCACGTGCTGCCCGGTCCCTGTCACCCCGCTCCGTGCAGTGAGCTGTGGGTTGCTGTGGTCAGTGCATTCCCACTCCTGCTCTCTGGCCCTGCTCTGCCTGGTTCTGGGAGAAAGGGATGGGGAAACATTCAGAAACTCTCCTGCTGCCCTGGGGATGTGGGGATGCATTTGAAAGGAGAGACCTTCTGTACAAATGGTTCACACTGAAGGTGTAAATTAAACTAAAGCTGGGTGATGGCTCATTTCTGTTTCTCTTCCATGCTATTCTGTGGAAAAACAACTTCCCCCAGTTACTTCCTCTCCTTTGCCATGCACTTCCAAGGGCATCCCCCTCTTTTGGGAAGTGGGTTCTAAGAAAGGGCACTTTGCTGCCAGTCAGACTCGAGTTCCCTCCCTTTCTTTAATTTGCCACATCGGCTCAATTTTAGGAGTCCTGTGCAGGACCACAGCTCCATCCTGGGATTGCAGACTGATGCCTGATCCCAGAGACATCAGGTACACCGTCCATGGCACAGCAGGTGATGAGGAACCACAGGATCCTTTGGGAGCAGACACAGGCTCCCAGCAAACCTTTGTTGCAGGAGGCAAAGGCTCCTTTCTTCTCTGCCGGTGACGCATCCTGCCTGCCACAGCCAGGGACAAAGCTGGCCCTTTCCCGGTGCCGGCAGAGGTATTGAAGGCAGGAGGAGCCTTCCCAGGGCCCTCTGCAAAGAGCCTTTGGTGCCTGCTCCAGAAGAGCCCTGGGTTTGAAGGGATGCTGGAAGCTGGTGTGAATGCCTGCATTCATTCCGTGCTCACTGAGCCATTCAGCTCTGCCCACCGCTCCCTCAAAGAGGAACAAAAATGAAAGCAAAGTCCAAATGCTTCTCTCCCTCTCTGAGTGTTTTCCTCCCTCTCTGAGCATCTCTTCTCCCTCCCCATGGAGAGCTCTGCCTGGGAGGAGGGAGAAAGCAGGGATGTAGCCAAAGTGGCCTCGCCAGCACAGGGCTTGGCTCTTCTTTGTTACGGTGAGCTCCTGGACACCCTTTTGTCCCCCTTCCCCCGGGCCTCTGTGGCTCTGATCATGATAACCCCTGGATCCTCCTCCCTGCCCCAATGGGGTTGGCAGGGAGCCAGGAGAGCCCACCCTGTCCAAAACCTATATAGACCCCTGAAACTTCCTGCTCTCTCTCTTTTGCCCCGCTCTCCATGGACACCACAGAATAAAGAGAGCTGTTCCAACTTCCCTGGGGTAAGAGCCTCTTTTGAATACTTTTCCCTCTCCTGCTATTCCTTCCCTCACAGCCCCATATCTCTGAGCTGGTCGGATCCTAGAGGGGGCTGCGTGGAGGGGGGGAAAACCATAGAAATAACACTTCTTCTCTCAGCCCCTGCAGAAATGGGGTGAGTTTCTTAATTTTCCCTTGTTCTTTGCTGCCTTCTCCCTGGCACTCACAGCCTGGACTGGCAGAGGGGCGGATGAGCAAGAACACATCTCGCCCTGCCCGAGGGAACACACAGGGAGTGAAAATCTCTGCCCTGGCCTTCCAGCAGCTCATGCTCAGGGCACAGTTGGTGGGGGACTCCCACCCCAGGGTCCCAGGGAAGGGCCACGTGCCTGCACGATGCTGCTGGCAGCCGGGATGTCCTCGGGGACGCTGACTTCATAGCTGCTCTGCAGGAAGATGGGTCTGTTGTCGTTGACATCCAGCACGGTCACGTACACCGTGGCAGTCCCGGTGCGCCGGTTCCCGCTGGGGCCGTTGTCTGTAGGGACAGAAAGGTGAAGGAGGGAGTTCAGTCACCTCCTCTTTGCACAGGTGGTGCTCAGCCCGTGGCTGCTCAAATAACAGGATTGAGATTTCTAAAGGAAAACATTTCATCTTTTTGCAGCTTTCAAATCCCACATGGAACCATGGGTTTCTAGTTTTTGTTTTTCCCTTCCTGTTTCGAAAGAAAAAGTCAAACCACTTCCCAAGCTCTGCCATGGAGCCCAGTGAGGCTGGAAATGCAACTGATCATTAGAGAGGATTTGCAATTCCATACGCCAAGTGAAGGGACTGCTGGAGCCAGGGATTTGGGAGATGAAGACAGCCTGATGAATCTTCCATAGCTGCAGCTCAGCTCACAGTCAAAGAGCACCAGAATGGGTTGATGTTCAGTAGACAAGGACATGGCAGCACATCTCTTGGATTTGACAGGAAGAATGAGGCACTGGGAAGCAGGCATTGGGGCTGGATTTTTCAACATGCCTGATTTGCAGGGAGCACTAAACCCACCCAGCTGGGAGCCTGTGGGATCTGGGAAAACACAGGCAGTGTGATCCACGTGGGAGGGGCACCCTTTGCCCTTTGGGATCCAGTCCTGTGTGCCCAGGCAGTGCAGCATCCCTGTGCAGCCCCTGTGGCACCTGCAAGGCTGTGCCCCCAGCATTTCTGTCCAGGCCACTTCTCCTTTCAAAAGGGACATCCAAGTCATCTGTGAACAGGCACATCATTATAAAGCTCTGGGGATGACAGCCAAGCTGAGCTGGGCACACAGGCCCTCTGCCTGTGCCAGGTGGCTCAGGGTTAATCAGCAGCCACAGAGCCAAGGGCTGGCATGGCAGGAGGGGAACGATGCTGTGGCGTTGGCATTTTTGGGTAGAGGGCTGCCCTGGCCAGCGTGGAACCTCTCAGGAACAGGGGACCTGCCTTCCCTAGGTGAAAGGGAGAGCCCTGGGGCTGGGCAAACCTGAGAGGAGAACACACCTTCTGCAAAAGTCATGCTGGAACCGGGACATTAATTCACACGGGCTGTGTAATGTTAACACCAGGCACAGGCTGTGGTTTGGAGGGCGCCTCAGAGGTTGCTGCCCCTCTGTCAAACTTGCAAGGCAGCTTGAAATGTGCAAGGCCACCACAGATGGCCGTGTGGCAGTGGGATCCCTGGGAAATCCTTACCAATGGCCTCCAGGATCAGTGTGTAGGATGCCACGGTCTCCCTGTCCAGACTCACGACTGTCCTGACCACCCCGTCCCTGAAGCCGACGCTGAATTTGCCATCCTGGTTCCCACCTGCAGCAAAGCACAAGCAGAATAGAAACTTGGAATGGGTTGGGTAAGGATGGGAGGGGCTCTAAAGATCACCCTGTTCCAACACCTCATCGTGGGCAGGGACACCTACTAGACCAGGCTGCTCCAAGCCCTGTCTAAGCTGACCTTGAACACCTCCAGGGATGAAGCATCCACTACTTTCTTGGACAGCCTGTCCTAACACCTGGCTGCCCTTTCAGTGAAGAAATTTCTTCCAATATCTAATCTGAACCTTCCCTGGTGCAGCTTGAGGCCACTTCCTTGGATTCTGTGGCCTGGGCATAGGGTCAGCCCAGCTGTGCAAGGACAGTTTTGTGCCTTGTCCCTGGCAGAGCACCTCACAGCACAGGAAAAATCCAATGGTCATAGGCAAAGCTGTATCATTTCCCAAATGCTTTGAAGCAAACTGGGGTAACTTTGCATGTGAGCCATGGTACCTGTGGGATGACACACCCTGTTTCACCTACGGAGAGGCTGGAGAGGCCAGAACAGCAGGCTGCTATTGTGGGAAAAGTGACTCTCTGGTGGCACTTCTGTCTTTACCCTTTTCCTGAGGGCTCAGTGTGCAGTTTGCAAGTCAAACCGTGGCCAGGGGATTCCCCAGCCTCCTGCAGGTGCTGCAGCTGTGGGGTGAGCATCACTGCCCACCCAACCCCACCTGCCCACGGGGCTACAAAAATGCCCCAAAGTTCCATTTATGCATTCCAACCATAAACAGTGCTGAAAGCCACCCCAGCCCTTGCTCCCTAGCCGTGTTCTGCCCATCCTCAGGCTTTTCCAGGGCCAGCAGAGTGGTCAGCGTGGCCGGGAGCCAGGCGGGGCCGTTCAGCAGAGGGCGATGCCGGACCAGGTTTGGAGGGGCTGGGAAAGGCAGCGCTGAGTGCAGAACACCCTGAAGGTCTGGGGCAGCCTGTACCTTCCTGCAACCCAAGTTTCCACTCTGGCATGGGGCTCCCACCTGTGATGAAGTAGCTGAGCTCGGCGTTCAGCCCGATGTCGGCATCCGTGCAGTTGAGCCGGACCACTTTGAAATCCCGGGCCACGTCCTCGGGCAGGGACACGTTGTAGACAGCCGGGAAGAAGGTGGGGTTCTCGTCGTTCACGTCCAGAACTGGAAAGGGAGAGCAGAGCTGAGTGTCCTGCCTGGGCTGCCCCTCCTGCAGATGCCAGGCTGGGCTCCCAAACCTCCCGCCTGCTGCTCTCAGCATCCCAGGGAATGCCCTGCCTGACTCTTCCTGCCATTTTGCAGTGGGGGTGCCTGCAGAGTGGCTGTAGGCTGTATTTGGTTGCCTCTGACACACAGATCACCCTCCTCATGGGCAAAAAACCATTACATCACTGAAATTCAAGTTATTATTTTCACCAAGCCTGTTTCCATCCTCATTCAAAGCAATAGCTGGGGCTTAAATATAAGCTCAGTATTTCCTGGGGCATGGCAGAGACCAGGAACTTCTTTTCCAAACTCAGGCCTGAGGACAATCCAGGGTCAGTTTCTTTCCAGATGACGCTTTTTCAGCACTGGACTTGCACGAAGCCAGTAAACAGTGAGGCATTAA